TTACCTTTATTTTGCAAGATAAAGGATGAAATGATGCGGTCCCATTCCTCATTCTTTGTATCTAACAATACCAAGACCAGGTCAAATCTGCTCAGCAAGGGACTGCCAAGAGCTATGTTGACAGAGACAGACTCATTCGGGTCATAATGGCCTTTTGGGTTTGTTGCTGCCAGGATAGTTGTCCTTGTATTAAGCTTGCACACCAAGCTAGAGAAAAAGATGGTGAACATTACAGTTGAATTAAATGTGGTGGGGGAAATTATTCCAAAGTGTTAAAAATTATTACATTTTTATGTTATAATAAGCACCTCTTAACTTGAAAGACCATGAGAGCTAAACAATATACACAATTATTGTATGAATATATATTGTATATACAACATTTCTCAGTCAGAGAATAGCAACTAGACAGAGACACAGTGATTAGGATTACCAAAAGTAACCAAGCAATATTGCCACGAGTAATCTCTATATACAGCTAGGTCCTTAAATGGTGAAAACTACATAACTTTTCAGAAATAAACATTACGGAAACACTTAATTGTAGTGGAAGGTAACAGATTAGCTTAATTCACATTTTAAGAAAGCTAAATAAAATTTAATGTAAACATACGTTTTAATTTCTGTGTGTTAACACATTAATAATATAAACCCAACCAAACAATGATGGCAGCTGTATTAATTGTTTCTCCAGCCATTTTCCTCTCTGAGGGATCTGAAAGACCTCGTTATTTCATCCTTCATGCTACCCTGGCATGTGTTTTTAGATGTGGGGAGGGATTCTTATTCTAGTAGTCCAAATGCAATCCTTTTGGTTAAGGCAGCGCAGGACTATTCTAACTTTGGTTTGTCACTGAGCTATTTCTAGTCAGCTCCCAAGTAACTGCTGTCTCACATCCAAAGTTCTGTAACTGAAAGGAAGGACCACATATCTTCCATTAGCTTATGCCCAACAGGAAAAAAACCCCCGTATCTCCCATGCTCCAAAGTAAGACTTCAAATTAACAAAGTGCTAAATTACTACTAAAAAAATTCCTCATTATATGTCATCCTTAAAAGTGAGCAACTGAGGCTACCTGACCAAGTTAGCAAACTGTGTTTTGGGGTCTGCAAAACCCAACCAACTGCAAAATGGAACCTAGCTAAGCAGACAGGACTGTGTTGATTCCAAACCTTTGTCCCCAGCTGCATTACTGGCAAAGGCTAGTAATCTCCCAGGTGACAGCAGCATTACTTTTCCACTGTCTGCCAAAGAGGATGAAGAGAAGAGCTTCAGTGAAGAAACTTCAGAATAAAGGAAGGACATGATCAGTTAGGGAAGCTGAGAAGATGTGGCTGGAGTGAGAGCTGAGTGAAAGCAACAAGGAGGAATGTGGAAAGGGTGATGGCTTTTGAGCAGCAGAGATTTCAGCAATTCCAGCCTAGAAAATACTTGGGTCTGGACAAGAGCTGCATATGACTGAGTAAATGACATATGAGCTCAAAGGTCCAAGTGGCTGGGGGGAGAAATAGCAGATTTGAATACACACTACTTTGAAAGAGAAAGCAAGGAACTGAAAGTAAGCAGGAGTTTATATTTATGCCATGCTCAACATATAAAATTCAGCAGCCTGGAAATGTCCTGGCCTTCTTTTAGTAGCATGTAGGGCTACTGGATACTGGAGAAATGAAGCCCTGCTTTCTGAGTTCCAATAAAAAATTAACAAAATTCCTGATTTCCCATATGATTATTTGAACACTCACAGCAAAGAACAAGAAAAAGCACATTAAGTCTTTTTAGGCAAGTGCCCTGGCCTACGTTGTTAAATTGAAAACCCAACAGTGAAGAGGGTGTTTATACTGATTGATTGCAACCTCTGGTTCAGTGCACTGTCCTTTGAAATGCTGACTTGTCTAGTTTTAAGAATACTGCTGAGAACAAAACTATTAAGTACAACAAAGAGAACAGATATATTCAATCAGCATGACAAAGCTCCCTCTAACTTGTAAGTACAATAGAAACTTCTTAATTTTTGTAATCATGTATGTTAAAACGCCACTTACCCTGCCTTTGCAACACTGATAGTTTGTTGCTCCATCGCCTCATGGATGCTGGTTCTGTCGTGTTCTTTGATACTATTGAATTCATCAATGCAACAAAGGCCTCCATCTGCAAGCACCAGTGCTCCAGCTTCCAAGTTCCACTCCCCAAAGTCCTTCACAGCAGTCACTGTCAAACCTGCAGAATCAATTCCTTCTGTCAATCTTTTCCTTAAAATGAGGAGTGTACTTGAGTGAAAGAAAGCAACCCAGAGCACTGGCTTGTGCCACGGACAAAAGGCAAAAGAGCAGGTTAGTTCCACCTCATACCGCCAGCATATAACTTTACACCTACTGATAAAAAATCCCAGTAGGTTAGCCTGGATCTGTGGGGCTAATTCTGTTAAGCTTCCCATGTTCGATAGTGAATTGTTTAAGGACTTTGTTAATTGAACAAAAGGGATTAGAATAAGAAAACTAAATCTTCCAGATCAAGTTGAAAATTAGGGCAATTCCAAAGACAGCACAATTACAGAACGGGCCCATTCAGCTCCTCCTCCCCATCAACTATTAAAACAGACAAATATTTTTGGCGCTACAAAATAAATTTTGGAAAAAAATACTATTTTAGGTGTCTTTTAACTCCTGGCCTCAGGAAACTGAGACAAATTCTCACTTTAAACTAGGGCGATTATATTTCTTTGAGATTTTTACCTTTTTCTCTGCATTAAGCAAAAAATGAAAATCCAAAGATGCCTAACAATTATACATGGGAGAGTGTGGGGGAGGAGGGGCAAGGAAGGAGAAGTTCCCAGCAGGCATCAGTAACTAGCTATGATACACTGGGAGCATGGCAGGTCAGAAACTCTGCACAGCTGTCAAAATGGCCACTCATTATGTGCAGCTCCGTTCAAACCTTCTATTCCCTATTTCCAAACTTCTTTGCTATCTTTAGCCCTCCTTCTTCACTCCAGTGTTCAGCTTAAAATATCCTAGTAGTCAACAAACTGCAACCAGCCTAAAATCTCCTGGAACGCTATGAGAAAACCTGCCCAAGTATAACATTGCCACCCCAACTTCCCTTGATTCAGGGAGCGGCTGCTGAGGCCTTCTCGTTGCTGCATGGCCCACCACAGTAGCCATTTGTTTTTAAACAGTCAGCAAGAGTTATTGGAAATACACCTTTCCTGATAACGTAATGTGCACATTAGCTTGTTGTGAGGAACCTCCTCCATGGTGTCAATTTTTTCCTGATTTCCTGGACTCTGCACTGTACAACTCAGGCAGTCGATGATATCGCAGGATTATAAAAGAAAAAGCAAAATAACTTCTAGACTTGCATCAGGAATGTGGAGACTGCAATTAAAAAGTGGAGCGAGCAATACATCAGACAATGACATTTCTTTGTACGTACAAACCAAAAGTGCCATCGACTTTCCCCACCTTGCAGAGGCTGGGCCACCTGCTGAGGTCCAGGGGCCTCTGTGCCTGAAGCGCCCTGCTCCTGCCAGCAGGGCTCGGCCTTCCCACCACGCCACTGGGACCATGGCTCCTACGTGTCTTCCTGCTGTCCACATTCCATTACATTCAAGCAGACATCACTAAAGCCTGGATGTGCATTTATTTCCACACAGCATCTCTAGTGATGAGGGTACACAACTCGGCCCCTCCTGTTCCCCCAACCCTGGCTACTTTCTGTCCCTTCCTTTTTTTACTGTGAGAGTGACAGAGCACTGGAACAGGCTGCCCAGGGAGGTTGTGGAGTCTTCTTCACTGGAGACATTCAAAACCCACCTGGATGCGTTCCTATGTGATGTACTCTAGGTGACCCTGCTCTGGCAGGGGGGGTTGGACTAGGTGATCTTTCGAGGTCCCTTCCAACCCCTAGGATTCTACGATTCCAGCCCCCCAGCAGCAGGAGGCACATGAACTGGCACCGCAGCCGCACATCACTCCTGCCCATCCCGGCTGTGGCAGCCACAAGATGGCTTCTCCTACAGGCCTCCCACGGCCACTCAAGATGGCTTCCTCTCTGGGCTTCCTGCTGCCGCACAGGGATACGTTGCTTCACAGCTTATGATCTTATCTAAGCTCTTCTTTACACATACAGGCACGGGTTGGCCTCCTGTCAGCACATCTGTGTGAAAGACACGCTTCAATCCCTCCCTTCAAAGCCCTCTGTGGGCCAGTGTCCATGGCTGAGCTCAGGCGTGTGGGGACAACCTACCCACGCCCGGGGTGCCCAGCACCGCGCCATCAAACCCCTCCTCCATTCGGGGAGCACCCCAGTGAGTCAGAAGCCAGCCGGGCGCCC